GAGGATGAGGCGGGGAGGAGGAGGAGGAGGAGGAGGAGGAGGAGGAGGAGGAGGATGCGGCGGCGGAAGAGGAAGAGGAGGAGGAGGATGATGAGGATGAGGAGGAGGAGGAAGAGGAGGAGGAGGAGGATTGCATATGTGTTTATGATTGCATGCGTGCGTGTACATATGTCCGCAGCTCGTACGACGGCTCATGTGTAGATTGACTTGGTCAAACCAAAGCTTGTTGCACTCACAGAAAACACTAAGTCAAATAGGGTGAAGTTTCTCCCCCTCCCCCCCCCGCGCTCCCTGTCGAAGAGGACTAATCAGCATATCGAAGATAGGCTTTCAGAGGTCCGCGCGGATTTCTGGGATCTGCGCTGGACCCCCTTGGCGGCGCCTCCAGCGCCGCCCTTGGCGCTGGAGGTTCGCCGGGGAGGGGAGTTCAGCGCAGATCCAAGAGATCTCCACGAACATGTTATGCCCATACGTTTCGGTTTTCTAAATCATTGGCAACGCTAGGGGCGGGATAGGCTCAGGGGGAACTCGTCGATCCAGATCGCCCACTGATAGTGCGGAGCTCCGACAGTTTGTATGGTTATGCGGATCTTCCTTCGTCTGCCCCGCCCCCGTGACCTCCGCCTCTGCCACTCCAAGGGTCGAGCATTGTCTGCTTAGTTTTGTTGTGATTTTTTCATGGTGTTTTTCTTGTATATTTCTTGTTTAGCGCATCCTTATTAGTTACCTATACGACCACCCTTCGGGTGATAAGGAGGTTCGGGGGGGAGGAACCAACGTCTCACTCGATCGGTCTCACTATCGATCTCACTATCGATCTCACGATCGGTCTCGCTCGATCGATCTCACTCGATCGATGTTACAATCGATCTCACTCGATCTATTTCATTCGGTCGATCTCACAATCGATCTGACTATCGATCTCACAATCGATCTCACTAGCGATCTCACAATCGATCTTCCATTCGATCTCACTATCGATATCACAATCGATCTCACAATCAACGCCATCATCATCATCAACATCTTCGTCATCAACGTCATCAACATCATCATCATCACCGTCGGGGCACCATCGTCATCATCATCACCACCTCATAACCATCATCATCAACATCATCATCATGACCATCATCATCATCATCATCGGGACACCATCATCGTCACCATCAGCATCATCATCATCATCGTCATCATCGGGACACCATCATCATCAGCATCGGAACATCATCATCATCATCATCATGATCATCATCATCGCCATCATCTCATCATCATCATGAACAACATCATCAACATCATCATCACCATCGGGACACCATCGTCATCAACTTCATCAGCAGCATCATCATCCGCAACATCAGCATCATCATCATCATCAGCATCATCGGGACACCATCATCATCGTCACCATCACCATCACCATCATCATCATCATCATCATCATCATCATCATCATCATCGGGACACCATCATCATGATCAACAACATCAGCATCACCATCATCATCGGACCACCGCCATCAAAATAAACATCTCCTCGTCGTCGTCCTCATCATAAACATCATCATCATCATCGGTACATCATCATCGTCATCATCATCATCATTAACATCATCATCATTGGGACACCATCATCATCATCTTCACCATCATCATCGTCAACAGCATCATCATCAACCTCATCATCACCATCATCATCCGGACAGCATCATCATCATATTTAGCATCATCATCAGCATCATCGCCATCATCTCATCATCTCATCGTCACCAACATCATCAGCATCATCAACATCATCACCATCATCGTGACACCATCATCATGATCAGCAATATTAGCATCATCAACATCATCATCATCATCGGGACACCATCATCGTCACCACCATGGCCATCATCACCATCATCATCATCATCATCATCAACATCGTCATCATCATCATCAGCATCGGGACACCATCATCATCACCACCATCACCATCACCATCATCATCATCGTCAACATCATCGACATCATCGACATCATCGACATCATCATCATCATCATCATCATCATCATCATCATCATCATCATCATCATCATCATCATCATCGGGACACCGACGGGACACCGGCGGGACACCGGCGGGACACCGCGCGGCACCGGCCCCCGGAAAGGAAACATTTGGTCCGGCCGCGCCTCAGCCGGAGGCGGGACACCGGCGGGACACCGCGCGGCACCGGCCCCCGGAGAGGAATCATTTGGTCTGGCCGCGCCTGAGCCAGAGGAGACTTTCTTCTCGCCCGCTCACGCAGCTTCGCCTCGCCCGCACGCACGGTACGCAAGAAAACGAAACCGAAACCGATTTCCTGGTAGGGGGGCTCTCCGTTCCTTTTCGATTTCACCCCCTCACCTCCGATGTTCATATTTTCTATTAGTTCTTGCTATTCTTGTTCAATTGCATCGAGCTCGTCAATGCTCTTGTTTGTAATAGTTTTTTATGTGTGTGATTATGTTTATGGTCATTTGTATTCAGCTCGTCCTTCTTCTTCTTTTTCGTCTTTTACGTCTTCTTCTCCGCGCGCGTCGCTTGCCTTTCATCACCGGCGAGCGCCGCCCTCCGTTGCTTTCCGCCGCTCCTGCTGTTCCTCCTTGTTCCCCCCCCCGTTCCTCCCCGCCTGGTGATCCTCCCTGCCGCTCGCGGGCGGGCCGGGGCTGCGAGAGGGCGAGACGCGGCGGAGGATTCGCCATTCCGGCTTTCTTCTACACGGTCCAGAACAACCTTTGGCGCCGACCCCTGCTTCCTCCTCTGTTCTCCCCGTCTGTCTCTCTCTCTCTCTCTTTTTTCTCTTTGTCTCTCTCTCTCTCTCTCTTTCTCTCCTTCTCCTTCTCCCTCTCCCCTCTCTCTGTTTCCCTCCCTCCCTCACATCTGTTCATCTTTCATGATTGCACAGCCTGAGTTCTGCCCCCCTCTCTCCCCTGGTACTGTGCTGGTCCGGCGCCGCTCCTGCCACAGTTGGCTCGTGCGCAGGATTTTTCAGCAATCGGTCCTGCAGTCTTATTTCAATCGGAACGTTCTCGGTTTGTCAAACACGCTCCCTCTTCAGCGTTGGCCACTCGTGAGGAGCGGTGCTTGGCTCCCGTCGTTCCGAGAGGCGCTCTCGCTCCACCGCGGGCCACTTTTACGAGTCCGCGTCCTTCCTCATCGTTGGCGTCCCCAACCGTTCCCCTCCGCCGCCATCCCCGGCCCCCCTGCTCCTGCTCCTCCTGCGTGTTTTGCGCCAGGAGTCCCCTCCCCTCTCCTCCCTTCTTCTTCTCTTTCTCCTCCTCCTCCTCCTCCTCCTCCTCCTCCTCCTCCTTGTCGAGTTCGTCACCCTCCTCGCAGAGATCTCAGTATCCATGCTGTTTGACATGGTCAACTGTTTCGAGCTGACTAAGCCCGCGCAGCTTATCCAAGAACCGATTGCTTAAAGTTTCTCAAATTTTGGTTTGGATGCCCACTACTGTTTACAGAGGGCCTTTCACAGACAGCCCAGGGGATTTGAAGCCTTTGGGGGCCTATCTGAGCCTTTTGAGTTCCCCCCAGGGTATCTCGGCTGGGTGCAGCCACGCTGCTGGCAAGGTATTGTTGTTCACTTTCAGGGCGCTCATGCGCGTGAGCCAGATCTCACCCTGCATCACTCCTTGTGTGCTCGTTTACGATGTGCCCTTGCAGTTTGTTTCAACCTCGCCTTCTGAGCTGCCGCTGCTTGTCAAGGCGGTGCAACCATTCTCTTCCGACGTTGCGGAAGCAGGGCTGTGGCAGTCCCAGATGTCAGGGGTCGTGGCTTCTTCATTGCGGGGGAAGAAGTTGTTCAAGCGAGGGGTTGCACAGTTGGGTTTGAAGCTTCGGGGTTGGGTGAGGAACCTGAGACATGAGCTGACTGGGCCGAGCGTCTCGAGGTTGCATGGGAAGTCCAGGTTAAACAGGCTGTCGCCAGCAGGGGTTACGTGGCGCCGTTTGGCGCAACGTCGCACTGCTTTGGCGAACAGGTGCCTTTCCTGCTGCTGGCCATGGTGGGTGGAATTCGTTGCAGCCGTGTCTGGCGTGACGCTCAGGTACCTCAGACACAGCTTCCGCGATGTTTGCTGGCAAGAAATATGGTGGGATGACTGCTTACCTGCCGGCCCGTCGAGACCCCCTTAACGACCCCATTTGCGATGGCATCTCGGCGTGTACGCTTCATAGGCTTGGGACGATAGAGCCAGCTCAGGGAAGGCCCAGGTGCCTGGACGGTTCTCGAAGAGAAGGTGGAGGATGACCCCACGTGGCAAGTTGTGAAAGTCGCCCTGCCAGCCTGTGGGATTACCTTGCGCAGGTTTGGTCGATCAGAATTGCTGCTCAAATGTGTAATGGAGGATGGCGATTAATAAATGACCGGGGGTCGTGTTCACGCGGCGGCGCCCAGGATGACGATTAGAAAAAACCGGCCGCGGGCTGGACAACTATTTCGTTCATCGTTCTCCTCCAGTCAGAAAATTGCATAAATAGCAGGAAACTATTTTTCTAATCGTTCACCATTTTTTTATTAATCGTCATCCCGCATTATTCTATCTGGCCTGGGTCATCAGACCAACTGATTCGCCACGTGCCCAGCGGCCGTGCAGTTCGACATCGCTGACGCTACAGGGCCCCAGAAAGGCCGTAAGGGGCCCCACGAGATCCTAAAGGGCCATACGCCCTAGGCGATATTTAAGGAAACCTAAATTTTCGGCCAGAGTCTCGATTATTCTTAATGTTTCAATGTAAATCCCAAGATTTGAATCGACATTCTGGGTTTTCACTCAGATTCTGAGACTATGAATTTCTGAACCCATGATTTCTTAAGCATTTCGCAGGGTGTACAGGGGCCCGACGGGGCCCTCCTCCGCCTCCCTCCCTGCCGGAGCCGCCAGTTCTGGTTCAGGCGGCCCCTCTGCCACGCCCCAGCGGCCTCCCTCCGCCACCACAGCGCCTCGCCGCCCCGGAGGTACTACGCC